TTCCCGCTATTGCATGATCATCAAAGTAACTAAAACACTTTCAACATGTGAAATATTTTTGGCGAAAACATATATCAGACCAAAACACATGATACGAGCATTCGATTAAAATGTTAGAGAATGAAATTTACTGACAACAAATTCTCCAGGGCGAGCCTAACGACAAAGGCAAAGAACTGAAGCCGAGCGCAGATCACTGGACAGTGAGGTGCTGGAGCTGCTGTGATTTCAGCACAAAACGTTGGACCATTGAAGTTGGTTTACACTTGCACCAGGTTTGTTGTACCAGTGTAGGAGATTGCGCACATATCATGTTACCCTAATTTCGCCCATGGTTCGGATACCAGGCACTATTTGATGCTAATAGGTAGAGACTTAAGAACTTCAGTTCGGATGACTTTGCTTTGTGTCGGCTTCCATGTACTGTCTTCACATCAACTGTGGCTTTGAGACTACAAAGCCTATCCCATTATAGTTTCAATAAGAAGTTTGAAAAACAAATTATATTCTAACTTAAATCAGTACCACAACTTTTAAATCAGTGTTCACAAATCTAACTTTGAAAGGTGTTTACCTTTTCCTTGATTACCAATGTGGCGGGCAACTATTATACAAATAGTTCTGTCAGTTTGACTGTGTCTTTAATACGGTGTGTACACATAGTTAAAGTTCTGTCTATCACCCCAAGAAGACAATACCTGGGTATAATGCCGCGTTGTCCAACCTGCTGTAAGCCATCAGCCTATCAACGTCTTCCAATTGCCCTTGCAGCACACGTTCAGGAGGAATGTTCTGTTCAATGATGTGGATCATGGTTGCAACATGTACCTGTCATGTAGGAAGTTAACACTACAAAAATATCTTGCACAAGAGATTGATTTTCTTGAACTGGATCGATATCTCTGCTGGAGGACTGAAGTCTCCGAGCTCAGTAGCATATGTTTAGGCCGAGACATTAAAATTTTGACACATCGGGGACAAGAAATAAAACTGCCCTCCACTGGGTTGCAAAACGAACATAGTTGTTAAACTTTTCTCTTTACTTAGGAACAGCAGAATGCCTGCACTTGTTCACAACAGACATTATTCAAAATCAACACATTTGTTTCATCCTCATCTGTTTTCAGCAGATATTCGTAGGTAAACCGACCGTGGCCAATACGATATTGTCGTATCTTGTCATCTTGACTGACAACCCAAATAGGTATGACCGATTGTTGGTTTAAATTCGTGAAGTGTATGCATTCCTACCTGGATGTCTCACCACGAGATACCGATTATAAATCTTGATGGTTGGTTTGAAATCACTGAACAGGATAAGGAGTGGATATAACGGTTTGTCAAAAGCTGCTTTCAGTGTAGCATCGGCTTTTGAGTTACCTGTTATGCCAACATGACCTGGCAACCAGGAATAGACGATGTCACATTGGCCTTTAGAAAGATCATTGTAAAGTTAAAGAATGTCTATGTCAAAGGGTAATTCGCGGAGAGACTTTGAAATGCTAGAAGGCAAGACAATGAATTTGGAACGATGATGAACATTTTACATTGCTTTTGTTGTTTAATATTGTTTAGCAATATGTTAAGATGGTTTTGGCCTCAGCAGTGTGGATTGAACTATCATCTTGTATTCTTTAGGAAACAGTTTTGGATCCAGTGATGGTGGTACTTGCAACTTTGTCACCACCCTTGGACCTGTCTCTAAAATGCATCCACGAGAATCATATTTTATTTGTAATTGGTTATATTTTTGTTGATATACCAAAAGATTTGTTTCGGACTTTTTGAGCTGGGTGAGAATGAAGTCTACCTCTGGCTTCACCATCTTCCAGGGAGAATAAGGCAGAAGTTGGTAAGGTGATATAATATTTAGATCTATTTTAGCTGCAGTGATGTGTGGTTGAATTCTGATTCCAAGTGGTGGAACCAGTTTAACAATTTTCAGGTTTTCACGCAGAGGTTTGAAAACTATGAAAGCCCATTAGGACCATATTGGTATTTTGTTTTTTCTCTTTTAAAAGTCGTAATTACGTGGGTAAAAAGTCGTAATTACGACTTTTCAAAACTCGTAATTACGAGAAAAAATAGTTTATAATAAGACCCTATTTATTGCTTTGTCATTATATCACGGTGATTTTCATCATCATTGTAAAAGTCGCAATTACGATTTATTTTTCTCGTAATTACTTTATTCTCGTAATTACGACTTTTAAAAGAGAAAAAAACAAAAAAAACAATTTGGTCCTAATGGGCTTTCGTAAATATCAATGTTGAAATACACACTCATTTTTCTCACAGTGAAAGTAGGAAGCTCACAATAAGGGTGAAAATGTTATGCTGTTATGAGGCCTTCGTTTTCCGAGTTCTCCCCCTTAGATTATGACGATATTGGTACCAATTTAACTGGGTCCCTGTCCTTCAAAAATAGATTCAGTCACACTAGTCTAAAAAAAAGCAGTGTAAAACCATACTCACTCAATCGCAACCAGAGGTGGACACACACGCTATTGATTTGTAAATTGACATTTTGGCATGTTCATGATTTTTATGAAATCACGCATTTTCTGAAGTCAGTACGGCAAATTAAACCATTTGAACAATTACAGGTGTCTTTATCTGTTGCAAACCGAAATTGTTTCAGATTTGGTAAAAAACATAACATTAACAATCTTATTCAATGTCACAGGAACTTTTGTTGTTCAGTATACATGTAGATGACATCATAATTATCTAAAACGTTTTCAGGACATTTGAATCACTTCAAGGCAGTTTTCCAAGAGATCAAAGAAGCAGGACTCACTCTAAAACCAAGCAAATGTAAATTTGCGACAAAACAAGTCACTTACTTAGGGCATATCTTCAGCAAAGATGGCATCCTTCAAAACTAGATTCAGTCACACAGATGCCATCCCTTAAACATTTCCATAATATGCATCATTTTTTGTATCACCTCCCCACTATACAACCTTCTGAAAAAAGATGTGTCTTTCAAATGGTAAAGAGGCAATCGAAAAGCTAAAGCAAGCCCTTGCAATAGCCCCTGTCCCTGCATTTCCCGACCACAATAAACCCTTCATCCTCACAACTGATCTCAAACTGCAATAGGGTACATTTTGGGCCAACTGTATTCTCATGGCATAACTTATAATGATGTTGTTAATTCATGTCTTTCGACAAGTATCTTCCTTGACATTGGTCCTGTTCCGTTTTTAGGAACAAAAAATGTTGGTTGATAATGTTTCTTATGCTCGTCAGTTTAGGTTATTGCAATAAAATATTTATATATATATGTTCATGTTTTTCCCATGTAGTTTTTTAGTTATATCACAGTGGAACAAGCGAAGTCAGTAACGTGTGAAAGGATATAAGGATGATGTGGCCTCTTGAAATGGAAGATTTTTAAGTAAATAAGTGCAACAGATATATTGTCTCTAATGGTGATGTCTCTCTGTAAATGATTCGCCCCCATGGTCTAGTGGTAGAGCGTCTGCCCGGGGGGAGGAAGGTCCCCGGTACGATCCCTGGTCGCGTCATACAAAAGGACGTTAAAAGATGGTACTTGTTGTTACCCTGTCGGGCGCTCGGCATTAAGGGACTGGTCGGCTCGGAATCAGTATACTGTGTTTGAGTGTTGAATTCATGTTAAACTGTGGCATGGTATCTCAGTGAGCTATAAATCGGCATCAGTCCGGACTAGTACAAACAGCCACACATACACACACGTGCATGCACGTCGCTATATAAGTACAATAATCTTGAACGTGACGTTAAACCCCATTTCACCTCACCTTCTCTGTCATTGATTATGGCTTTGCTAACGTAATACTCTTTTTAATGAGGATGGCCATATTGCGGTCGATACTATCATACTGAGGCTGAGTTTTTTTCAAACAGATGGAGTTTTTATTTACACAAAATTATGAGGCATGTGTTTCTTTTTTTCAAAACAACAACCTGTTAGTGCAACATTGGACTGGTATGAACTTCATAATCATTGAGGGGCAGTTGGGTAGCCTAGTTCGCTCATAGTGCTGAAGACCCGGGTTCGATTCCTGACATGGATACAATGTGTGAAGCCCATTTCTGGTGTCCCTAGCCATGTCATTGGTGTGACTTGAATTCAATCATCTTTACCTTTGTTTGTCAGTTCTCGATGCCATTTTACAGACGACGGTAAATCGAATATTTTGAGGGATGACATAAGAAATCGCCCAGAATCAAAATTGCATTCGCATTGGTGTTCAATATCATCTTCTTTGACTTCAATACGCTTGGTTTGCTATGCCCCAGCTTTGCTATCCGTGCCTGGCAGAAAAGAGATCCATGAAGTGATGGCGATCTTGAGCTCTGAGGTTCCTAGTTACCCATCTTGCAGATACCTTGGACATACCAAGATGCTCATGAATAATGGTTACAACAGTTCCAACTGATATTTGGAATTCCCTAGAAAGTTCAAATACTTTCACTCTTCGGTCAGACAGAATTTTTCTTTCTATAGCAGCAATGGTTTCCGGTTGGGTTGCATCTGAAGGCCTGCCTTACCTTGGGTCATCGTCTATGGACTCCCCACCCCTTTAAAACTGTAGAGACCAACGGCACACTGTGGAATAGTCAGGAGCATCCTTACCCATTACTTTACACATGCGATCATGGATTTCTTTTGCTTTGCATCCCTCCTTGGTAAGGAACTTTATTACAGCGCGTTGTTCATGTTTAAGAGAATCCATGATTGTGACCACCCTTAGGTGAATGAAGCCATCACATCTAACTTATTGTTGTGTCTGGAACTTGTTATGACACGTGTCAACCTGATGTTATGACAAGTGTCACACCTGCCACAAGTTGACATTGTTTGTGTAAACAAAAATGCCCAAGTTGCAAAATTTATTGAATGCCCCTCGTAGAATTTAAAGCATCATCCTGATACATCCTATTTCCATTTTTCTACATTATCTTTCTGGCGTATGACATTTAGTTGAAATTAAGAACAGTGCCACAGATGAAATGCATACTTTTATTCAGAAAAAGCATCAATTTGTTGTGCATCTGCATCAATGTACTCATCATTACCCAATCATTTCGATGAAGAATTTGCACATTATGTTTTGTCTCATTTGTGGCAGGACCCTGTGTAATCATCAAGTTGTTCTATTCGTGTTAATTCGTTCTGAAAGTACCTCGGTCCATGTAAATATCCTTCCATTACATCCATGACATATTGGCTAGCTTGGCCGAAGTACATCACCTGAAAAAGTTTGAAAATAATCCATATTAATAAAGAGTGCACAGTTTTTTGACGGTGATCAATGTGGGATAAACGCAAGAGATGGAATCTTCCATGTATAAGGAACCATGTAAAGTATTGCTAAAATTGTCTAAACTTCAACTTTACGATTCCCTTCTACCGATTTGCCCAACTTATTCTTTGTTTGTTTTTTGTTTTTTTGGTTAACGCCGCACTCAGCAATATTCCAGCTATATGACGGCGGTCTGTAAATAATTGTGTCTGGACCAGACAATCCAGTGAGTAATGTCATGAGCATCGATCCACTCATTTGGGATCGATGACATGCATCAACCAAATCAGCGAGTCTGACCTCCCGATCCCGTAAGTCGCCTCTTTCGACAAGCAAAGTCGCCTTTTACGGCAAGCGTGGGTTGCTGAAGACTTATTCTACCCCGGATCTTCACGGGTCGAGTATACGAGGAGCATGAGTTTATGAATCAATAGGAAATGACACCAGCTGTTCTCGAAAAGGTGATTGTATCCAACTACCCAAGTGTTCACCTGAAAAACGTGGTAACATGGTACAAATCAAAATTGGGAATTGCATCTGACACCATTTTTCCTCACTCTACGTCTTCCATAAAACTTTTGAAAGCTTTACTGAGGCCTTGCATGTTGTAACCTAATTCAAACACCATTTGAACATAAATATGCTAATGTGTGAATGGGAATAATGAAATGTGTACATGTTGACAATGGTGATGATACAGTTTTGGTATATATATAACCTAATAGTTCTAACACATAAGCAACAACAAGAAATCCCTTTCCATAATCAGAAGATTTTTTTCCTAAAGTAGAGTCCGTTGATTCTGACTATATCATTAACATATGTTTATGAATCCTATCATTTTAGTGGTAAGGTAAGTGTATCTTGTCCCCCTTGGGCGCCTGTCGGAAACAGATGCAAGGCAAGAGAATTGTTCACTCAGGTCAACGTTTATGATTTATTAACTGACATATGGCAGTGTATTTTATTTGTTAACAATGATTGTAACTGTATCACATTGTTTCTGTAGAGAATCGGTAGACGCTCTAGCATTGTATTTGGGCAGTGACTAGTCGTCGGGAATACAGTACTAGTTAATGTAGGCAGTCGTAAGTAAGTTAGTATATTTAGATGCTAGAGTTGTGTTGTAAATTCCGGAAACGGCGAGACTTGTCCAGCATTTTACAGAACCTTACAGCACTGTCTAGAAAGTTCTGAATCTAGTTGGCACGGTATATAAGGGGACAAGAGCGTGTTTAGGGGATCCCTCACACATTTCGTCTGTCGCTGCTGGGTGAATATATATTATAATCACTGACTTTTGCTATCATCACTGTATTTTTATCCCCCGCCCAACAAAGTTGGCGGGGGATATAGAAACGGGCTCCGTCCGTCCGTCACGTTTCGTTTTCGGAGCATAACTCATAAACCGTTCAATATTTTTTCATCAAACTTTGCAGGTCTGTCAGGTACATGCTGAACTGGTGCCTTTTGCTATTTAGGAATTTTAGACATTTTTTTATATTTTACGTTTCCATGGCAGCAAGATGGACTTAGGTTCCAAACTCTTCTTTTGTTTACAATTTCCATGACAAGTTCCACCTCGGTTAAAAAAGGTTAAGGTTTGTTTAAATTTAATTATGTCATAAATTCTGCAACAGGGGCGGGGGATATAGCCACGTTAGTGGCAAACTCTTGTTGTATCTGATACTAGCCACAGCCATCATATTATATATGGCCATTGGATATTGTACTACCACTCTTTAGTGTACTTTCGTCACGATATGGCTGAAATATTGCCGATGTGACGTTAAACTTTAACTCACTCACTCCCTTTAGTGTACTGACACTGTGATTGCTGTGCAGTAATTTGTATTGATTTGTAAACTTAGTGAATTTTGTTGGTTTCACACTAATTTCTTACATATTTCTGGATTAGCATATTGTTTCAATTTGGGAATCGACACGTAACATAATGCATCACAATTAAACAATGAAAGTTGAAGAGACTCACCTCGACTGGAAAATCTGCGAGACTTTTGAAACATGCCTTTTTCCTCTGGACGGTTTTCCGGATGACCACATCTCTTTCAAACATCCACTGAAGCATTTCATTGTACTCAAGGGTTGTCAAGTCTGAAAGTCATGGTGGTTGCTGAGATCAGTCATGAAGTATATTATTATTATTTTTATTTTTATTATTACTATTATTATTATTATTATTATTATTATTATTATTATTATTATTATTATTATACCACATTGGTTATTATCCCTTTAGGTACACGCTGTTATGGTACAAACTGTATTTGCATATATTTGAATTGCAATTGTGTTCATTCCCGCAAGCTGATCAGCTGAATTGTTCCTGTCTCATTGCATTCATTTCTCAATGAATGTAAAATAATTAAGCCACGCCCATAAAAGCAGACAACTTTCATTTCTATGGAATATCGGGAAATCCAAATTGCAGACGGGGGGATTCCCGTTCTGCCTACCAGGCCATAATGAAGTCATCAGGCCTAGTAACATTTTAATGCTATTTTTTCGGTATAAATCCACAAATCCACAGCGTCGTCTTCCACACGTACTGAACAAACACTGGCATTCCACAATATCAGTTCCAAACTTTATTTGGGTGTTTTGTCAAGTACACTGCAGTTTGCAATAACTAAATAATTGTTGTGCTGGAAAACTGACATAACAACAGTAAGTTCATGTTAGTTCACCATTTGCATCGCAGTGGGCAAGCTCTTTTAAATTAGCATCAGTCCAGTCGAGTACAAACAATCTCGAATCCCACGTTGGTTGGTTGGTTGGTTGTTTAACGCCGCACTCAGCAATATTCCAGCTATATGACGGCGGTCTGTAAATAATCGAGTCTGGACCAGACAATCCAGTGATTGACATCATGAGCATCGATCCACGCAATTGGGATCGATGACATGCATCAACCAAGTCAGCGAGCCTGACCACTTGATCCCGTTTGTCGCCTTTTACGACAAGCACAGTCGCCTTTGACGGCAAGCATGGGTTGCTGAAGACCTATTCTACCCCGGATCTTCACGGGTATAATCCCACGTTGTACCCCCTTATATCTCACTACATTTCTACGGATGAAAAGAACGACTCAAGCTTGTATGGGTAACATCTGCATCGGGTAGTTTTGAAAAGGATGTGTTTTACAATAGCATGGTTATTTACTTGGTATGTATGAATACGACCTGATGTATATTGTCGGAATACGTGAATTATTATTTGACCTGGTAGATACCCTCAAACAAAGATGTAGAATGGCAGAAGGCACTCGTCCATAAATGCTCATTTACCATTAAAGACGTACGTTCCTCGTTGTCTTCAAATATTCCAGTTTCTTTGAATTCATATTGCCACAACATCGGCATAAATGGACACCCACTTAAACAAACACTGAACAGTGTGATGTGTGATATTGTTTATGAATACAGATATGGTGATTGTAAGAATTTGTTTCTGGAAAATCCTTACCACCATAAGAGGCATCAACCCATTTCAACAATGGCATCTGATGGGTTTACACCATGATTGTGTGACTATTTATTTTAGTGAATTAACCAGCACACTTTGTTATATTCTGTAACAAAAAGTGTTCAGAAATGGGTTTTTAGAACACCCTCTTAGTCTTATTCCCGGGACCCTCAAAACGATTTCCCAGTTTGCAGTCATACCAAGTGTCGTCAACTATCTGATTGGCTTATGGCAACTGATTATCCGCGAGTGAGTGAGTATGGCTTAACGCCGCTTTTAGCAATATTCCAGCGATATCCCGGCGGGGGACACCTTAAATGGGCTTCACACATTGTACCCATGTCGGGAATCGAACCCGGGTCTTCGGCGTGACTAGCGAACGCTTTAACCACAAGGCTACCCGACCGCCCTTGATTAACCGTGAGGGCAGTGTAAGACACCAAGGTGGAAGCCTCAGCCTTGTGTTCCTTAAAGGGGAAGTGTACACGCAAAAATCACTTTCTTTCTTTTTCTAAACAAAACGCAATTTTAGAATTAATTAGTATCTGTGATTTGAAAATATACACTCATTTTTTTCACAGTGAAAGTAGGAAGCTCACAATAGTGTGAAAATGATATGCCGTTATGAGGCCTTCGTTTTTCGAGCTAAACAGGCCTGAGTTATCCCCCTTAGATTATGACGTAATTGGTGCCAATTCAACTGGGTCCCTGTCTATTCTCAACGCAAAAGATATCAAGTACCAGTTTGCGGTAAAACAACATGGCCTACGACACACTCCGGCGCAGTGGTGACTCAGCATAACACTATGCTGGCTGGCATCTGAGACGATAGAATCACACACCTGGACCTACACCACGTGAAGCGGCTCTAACAAAGCATGATGACGTCATAATGTTTATCAATTGGCACCAATGACGTCATATTGCAAGGGGCATAAGCCATGGTGTTTTTGTTGTGGAAATAGAACACTTGGTAAATGTGAACAATATAAATCGTTTTAATGCGAAAAATATGTTAATTAATTGTGATATTTTTATATTTTTGTCTATGACACTTCTAGGTTAACACTTTTAATGTGGAAAAAGTACAAGAAAAATAGGTTCATTTCCGTGTGAACTTGCCCTTTAAAGTATTTAGATTATCATCATTCACGCCCGCCTGTCAGGATGATTATATGACATCGTTCTTTCACAAGCTGTGCTTTAATAACATTTTCAAGACGAAAGGGGCGTGTGCTTTCATTCACATCTCTAGTGTTATATAATATAACCACTCTGAATGTCACATTCACGTGACTCTTGGAGTGAGTGAGTGAGTCGGGTTTAACGCCGCTTTTAACAGTATTCCAGTTATATCACGGCGTGTCAGCTTAATGTGGGAGGAAATCCCGAAGTGATGCAGGTCTCAGACGCTTACCACTTCGGTACACGTCTTTTGGTATGACGCGGCCGAGCATCGAAGCCTTGACCTCCCGCTCTCCGGGCGGACGCTCTACCACTAGACCACAGAGGCGGTCTTGTTCACTGGGATCGCTCGTAACGAGGTATTTACTCACGGGTATTCTTCACTTAATTTATGTATTCCCAACAAAAAAACAATATCATTCTCATTATGTCAATGTGAAATATATCAAACTATAGAATCCTCCAGGGTTTTCCTCGAATGAGGCATTAGTCCGGCAGTATTTACCTCCTACACGATATATCTTCCTGTCCATGACGAGGTCAACATTTCCCAAAGATGATGACCAAATATCCTTGGGCAGGCTGATACCAATCTCCTTGGCGAAGTCACTACAGCCGTAGAGGGATGTGACGCTGAACTCATATCCTTTGCTGGACAGAAAGCCTGTCAACTGGGGCCAACTGCATGCTTTCTCAACGTCAAGAACTGAAACATGTGCCATTAAAATACAAAAACAAATTTAAAACCCAAATGTCTTTTCATTAAATCTTGTCAGGATGAAAAATATGTCCCACGTATATGTCAAAAATATACCTTTCTCAGACAGGCCTTCTGATCTTTTCATGTATCATACAAATCTATCATAATCCCCTAAAATATACAGAAAATGAGGAAGACGCTGTTTACATAAATACCCCAATATCAGAGGATGACCGGTAATGAAGTGTATTTTCAGACAAGAGTGAGTGAGTGAGTGAGTATGGTTTTACGCCGTTTTTAGCAATATTCCAGCAATATCCAGCGGGGGACACCAGAAATGGGCTTCACACATTGTACCCATGTCGGGAATCGAACCCGGGTCTTCGGCGTGACGAGCGAACGCTTTAACCACTAGGCTACCCGACCGCCCCTTCAGAGAAGAAACAACGAACTGTGTTGGTTGTTGGAAAGATATATCTTAAAATGTCATTTGTGATTAAATACTTCAAAGAATTCCAAGTTAACTGTTTCGTATATATATATATATATATATATATATATATATATATATATATATATATATATATATATATATACCTACAGGCACTACAGTAACTGGGTGTCTATGGGAAACTAAATCCTGCATTGTATTCGCTACCATGAGGCATCATTCCGGGCCCAGCAAACTCGTGCCTTTCTCCAACCACAACTTCAAACAAGAATGAAAACTCTTGTTCTATCGCTGGCTTATTATTGCTGTAAAAGTATTGAACCACACTAAAGGTGAAATGGGGTTTAACGTCGCGTCCAAGATTATTACACTTATATAGCGACGTGCATGCACGTGTATGCGTGTGTGTGTGTATGGCTGCTTGTACTAGTCCGGACTGATGCCGATTTATAGTGCTAGCTCACTGAGAAACCATGCCGCAGTTTAACATGCATACCCTACTCAGACACAGTATACTGACTCCGAGCCGACCCAGTCCTTGTTTTAGCCCCTTAATGCCGAGCGCCAGGCAGGGTAACAACAAGTATCATCTTTTGACGTATTTTGGTATGACGCGGTCGGGGATCGAACCTCGGACCTTCCGCCCTCCGGGCGGACGCTCTACCATTAAACCACGGAGGCGATCTGAACCACACTAAAGCTATGTAGTAAAAGAAACTAACAAAAATTATTATGAAACGTGGTTTCAACACGATGTGGGTGGCAATCACCCACACTGATAGAACAGACCTGGCGCAAGTGCAAGCCAATTTCAATCATTTTATGGTTCAACGTTTTCTGCTGAAATCCAACATCTGCATATTATTTATTTTTCAACACAACAATGTCAGACAACATTTAGCATGGGAAACTGCAACGCGAATTTGAAAACTACCTCAAATTTAGGGGTGGTGACTAAGTAGCCAAGTGAGTGAGTTTGGTTTTACGCCGTTTTATATCACGGCGTGTCAGCTTAATGTGGGAGGAATGTCCGAAGTGATGCAAGTCTTACCACTTCGGCGAAACCCACGAACACGGGTGTGGTGCTGACAAACCTTGAAACATTACCGGGGCGAACCGGGATTCGAACCCACAATGTTATCTCCCATGTGTGTACAAGCATATTCACATGTTGAAAGCATTTTAGTACATTTTGATTTTCACGCAGCAGCGGGATTTTACCTAGTACTATGTAGATATTTCTCATGAATTTATAGTATTTTTGGCCACCTTACTAAATGTACAAATCTAGCTGTAAATGTTTAATAGTACCTTTTGGTAGCTTATGTTCAGCACTTTACGTTGATACTTAAATTTCCAATATTGGTTAAGTAGTTACTTTGCTATTCGTGTTTTCCCTACTTTAGGGAAAACGCAATATTGTTCACTCACGAGGTTAAAGAGCTCCCACAACTGGCTAGCGGTAATTGTCTTCTCCGACGTCCGCGTCCCGATTATGTTTCTAGGTTTGTCAGCACCATTCCTGTGCTCTTGGGTTTCACTAAATAGTACAAATCTGATACCTACATCACTTCGGGCTTTCACGCCGTGAAATGATTGGAATACTGATAAAAGCAGTGTTAACCCCAGCTCACTCTTTTACTCACTTGACCCGTGAAGATCCGGTGTAGAATAGATCTTCAGCAACCGATGCTTGTCGTAAAAAGGCGACTAACGGGATCGGGTGGTCAGGCTCGCTGACTTGGTTGATGCATGTCATCGTATCCCAATTGCGTGGACCGATGCTCATGATGTCAATCACTGGATTGTCTGGTCTAGACTCGATTATTTACAGACCGCCGTCACGTAGCTGGAATATTGCTGAGTGCGGCGTTAAACAACAAACAAACAAACAAAAACCGTACTCACTTCACATTTACAGCTCAGCGCTACTGAGTGTAGTAATTGCCAGGAATCAATTTCTTTGACACATTCAGTTCGCTGTTTTGATTTATGCATACGTATCAGGCATGCATTGACCTGATGCCTATATTTTGGATGTTTTGAATTATTTGGTCCATATTTCAAACAAGTGTACTGATCGTTTCCGGGTTATGACGTATAAATTGTTTACTAGTTCTTCATGGCACTTGATATGCTAAGCAGACAAGTAACTGGTGCCTTTCTGTAATTTAGATCTTTTTTATTTTTTATCTTTTGCGTTTCCTAAGCAACGAGTTGGACTTATGTTCAAAAGAGGACGGCCCGTTTCCCGAGCATAACTTATACATTCTTTCTTATTTCTTTTTGAAACTTTGTATACATATCACGCAAGTGCTGTACTGGCGCATCTAAATACAACACCAAAATACACATCATTCGTTTGTCTGGTCAAGACACTATTATTTACAAGCATCCGTCATATAACTGAAATATTGCTGTGTGCTCCGTTGAACAACACACATTTGAAGCATTTTGAAATTAAGTCTTAAGAAAAAAAGAAGCAATTACAAGTTTAACAACTATGTGGTCCAATAAAATACTACAACTTGGGCATAGTTAGTATGTTAATAACTTGAGTGAGAATAATATAGTTCTTAACATGATTAATAAGCAGTACATTTATAGATATATATATCAATACAAGGTTAAAAATCCTCCGCCATCGCACATTTTGATTGGCTTGCGCCATTCAATCGATTGGGGGACAAGCCTTATAGCTTCCGGAAAGATGCCAGTAGTGACGAATGGCTGTATAGGAGATCGTGTTTCACGTGCTCTGTTCCACGTGATTCAGGGTACCTAAGGGAACAACCAGAGGTTTTCTGGGTAGGAATATAGATCCCCAGCAACCTACGCTTGTCGGGAGAGGTGAATAAATGGATGGGATGGTCAGCCTCGGTGACGTTTGATTGTGTGTCATCGTATCCCAATTACACACACACACACACACACACACACACACACACACACACACACACACACACACACACACGCACACACACATTCATGTTTACAGTATACATAAACAAAGGAAGTTGTTGATTGTACTTACCAAGAATAATCCTTGGATTACCAAGCTCCTGTTCAACCAAGAACAATTAATTACTACAATAATACACTACTAATCATACAATCTATTCATTTCAAGAGTGTATACATATTGTTCCATTTTACTTATAATTAGTAGTTACCCCTTCGGGTTCATCATCAGACGAATGTGTACGCAGTATGTGTGTCTGTCTTGTTTTGATTCTAACTCCACAACCATTGATCGATATGGAAAACTGATGACAAGAGTGTTACAGATCGTGTTGTCCTTAGTCCTTGGTAGGTCGGGTGATCGGTGATTTACTGTGAATAATGAACAAATATATTTTTTAAAAAGTACATACCTTAAACGAAAACAGAACCTTGATGTCAGTTAGACTTTTAACTGTCTCCTTAACCTGCTGTATGTCCGCCGTCTCGTTCCTCCCCTCCTCAGGGGGCACGTAGATGTCCACTCTGTACAGAAGGGCGTCTCTAGGAGCAGGATCGCTGAGGACAGACACGGGGAGACACGACAGGGTGATGATAGCAGCGACGAACAGCAGCATTGTTCCGAGTCGTTATCTGCAGCAGCAAAAGAAGGGGGATTCCGTGAGGAAAGCAGTTAAGTCCTGTAGCAAATATATTGAAAAGGGGAGTGTTACACTGAGAAATAAAAGTATAGATACAGAAAAGTATCATTCATTCCAAGTTATTGGGACAATAAAATATTAACATTTTTAGAAACATTTCTAGAAACATCATGACACTGCAGTGACAGTGGAACAATGTAATACTATCTAGTACTGTACACACTAAAAATCTAGCGTACTGTCATACATGCTAAACAACAACCCAAAACACATATCAGCTTCAAAATCCCTATTCTGCATGCCAAGAACAAACTATACGTTTATGGCGCAAGAAATATCCACGGTGGTTGTCATAGTGACGAGACATCTAACAACCCGTGATGATGCTGGGTTTGAATACGTCACCAACAACCTATGATGGTCGTAACATGCAACCAAATGGATCAGGTGTTCAGTCTCGCTGAGTTGATGATGGCGGGGATCGTTGCTCGCAATATCGATCACTAGACCGTCTTGTTTCTGCTCGATTATTTACAGGTAGCCATCATATAGCTGGAATATTGCTGTGCGTAGATTTAAAAAACAAACAAACATTTCTAAAGACTGTCTACCCACGAAGTCTAAGGTGATGGCGCATTTACTGAATTTCTTGAAACAAAAAGATAATATTTGTTTTTGAATAATGTCTGGTGTGTACATGCAGCTGCTTGTATGTAAAGATAAACGTTACAATTACGTTACTTTACAATTGATAAATGATATTGAGCCGGGGACCTCAGTCCACCACCAGGGACATCGATCCAGTTAAAAAACAACAAACCACTGTGCAAAAGACTCACATAGCGTTAACATTCAAACATGACATCCAACATCCAAGGCCAATTGAAAGGTGTTGAGAGGCTGAATGCTTTCAGTTGGTGGGACAACGTGACATAGTATATACAGGCATAGTGTCCTTGAGGTCACAGACAGAACTTTTACTGTGTGTACACACCGTATTAAAGACACAGTCAAAGCGACAGAACTATTTATGTCCAAAGACAAAATAGATGCCCGCAATATTGGCAATCCAGGAAAAGGCAAAAGACCTTTCAATGTTAGATTTGTAAGCACTGCTTTAAAGCTCTTGGTACTGAATTAAATAGGAATATATAACACTTCTTAATGGAACGATAACCGGATAAGCTTGGTAGTTTGAAAGCCACCAATGAAGGGGGTTATTGTGAAACAATACACGTAAGCCGAAACAGAGCAAAGTCATCCGAGCTTAAGTGTCCATCTACTAGTATTAGCGTCAAATAATGCGTTACCTGGCCCACGGGCGAAATGAGAGAAGCATGATGTGTGGGGCAATCTAACAAACTGGTACAACACACTTGGTAGAAGTGCAAGCCAACTTCTATAGCCCAACGTTTTGTGCTGAAATCATCAGCATATAATTTATGAACCCACTATGTCATACTTCAACACAACTATGCTTGATGGCATACAGCAATAATGCTTGTTTGGCATAACAAAGTGCAAAAATAATCACTATTGACACTTTTCGTTCATGTTCCTTCCTTCACTTTAAAACGTAGCATTGCATAAATTGTATTTTCTGTAACAGAAATGTGTTGGAAATTAAGATTTTGTACCATTCCATTAAAAGTAATTGAAAGATTATTACGAAATCAGTTATCGGGATAATGTTGACACAAGGGAGATAACTCTTTACAATGGTTTTCATAAACGTTGTCATTGGGATACATCTTAAGGAAAATAAAAACACCTAAGATAAGAGTTTTTAGTAAATGGATTTATAAGTTTAAACAAGTTCCGTTCTACAAAGGAGAGCACAAATACATTTCTCACTAAATTTCAATCAAAAGAGTTATTTTACAGCAGCTTCAATTTATGATAATTTACCATTAGGGTAACTTACACCTTTCAATGAGGATGTACGAATCAAACGAGCAGTACTAAGCCTACAAATTAAATGTCCTTCAGATAGATCAATAGGAATTGTTCTAGATACAAATGCTTTATTTACTAATTGATTTAAACATATTTTATTCAGATTGAAATGGATTGGGAACAAGTTATCCAACTTAGGACTCCCTCTCCATGGTATTTACAAAGCTTGTACAGTAAATCACATACAAGGAAAACAGATAAAAAAGATGAGTGTAAAGATAACAAGAAATGTACAAAAGAGAGAGACTAGTATATGTACATTAAAGTGTTACCCGAATCTCTTTGTATGACTTATAAACATTTGCACTGCTTTAAAGATGTGTTGATTTTCGATAATGGACAAACATTCATTTCCGTTTAACATCAAATTTTAAATCTAATTTAGCATTTTTGTTCACGGCGTTCTGTAAAATGTCCCGAATTATTATTAACATAGTTTTTCTTTAGTGGACGTACAATGGACACTTTAATAAATAATGATATGCGTTTTCACATGGATCACCACATTGACATATTGGATCACATTTTACCTCTATTCTGTATAAATCATAATTTAACTGGCTTTTCATGTATCTTAATCGAGTATGATAAATATTCAACTTTCTAACACCATAGGAAAAATATGGAGTGCAATGACTTGCTCTTTTTGTATGTATGTCTTGAATTGGGATGTAGATGTACAATTTCTACCTGCAGCAGGAATAGTGTTCCATAACCTTACAGTTCATGGAATAAAAGAACACGTTGAGTGCAGCAGGAATAGTGTTCCATAACCTTACAGTTCATGGAATAAAAGAACACGTTGAGTGTTTTAATCTAGTATATGGAATCTCAATATTGTCTGAATTTCTTAAATTATATGATATATTTGAACCTACAGTGGTTGGTACAATGTCTTTAAGGTAAGTTGGGGCAATATAACTTTGTATTTTGTAGAACAAACATAGCTTGCGTTTCCTTCTTCGTTCTATTAACGTTTCCCATCCTGTTTCATAATACAGATGTGTGTGAGAAGTATACTTTTCGAGCCCAGTAACTACTCTGGCAGCTTCTAGTTGGAGATTTTCTAACTGAGTTGATAATTCTATATTACACCCATCCCACACTTCACACGCATATTCGAAATTGGGTCTTATGAAGATTGTATATACTTTATTTAATGTATTTCTGTTCAATATGAATTTTAATTTTCTCATTGAATTTATCATTTTTGATGTTGACTTAATTATGTTATCTACGTGACAGGACCATTTTCCGTTTGATGCAAACGTTATACCCAAATGTTTATGATTTTGAACATTCTTAACTTTACATTCATCAAAGTACAAGGTAATGAGGTCTGATTCATCTTTTAAGGAAAATATAACCGCTTCTGTTTTATCTGGGTTGTATTTAATTAACCAGCGTTTTGCCAAGTTACACAGCTTGCTCAGATTTAAATTTAAAGTTGATTCAACAAGTTGATTACGTGGTGAAGAAAAGCCGAGTGCTGTATCGTCAGCAAAGAGTCTTGTTATGCAATCTAATTCATCAGCAATGTCGTTAACAAACACAATGAATAAAAAGGGACCTAACACCGACCCCTGTGGAACGCCAGCCTTCAAAATCCTTGGCCTGGATAGAGCCCCGCTTACAAACACTGACTGAGTACGATTGCTTATGTAACTAGACAGCCATTCAAGTAAATTCCCTTTTATACCATTCATTTCTAATTTGTACATAAGCCCTCTATGCCAGACACGATCAAATGCTTTTGACACATCGCAAAAAAACATGCAATATTTTTCTCTATTATCTAAAGATATACAAATTTGATTATACAATTCAATTAATTGATGGACAGTGGAATGGCCTTTTTGAAAGCCCGACTGGTATATATATAACAATTTATTGTCATGAAAGTAGTTATAAAGATGCTTAAATACAACTCTTTCAAATACTTTACCAATACAACTAATGAGTGATATCGGTCTGTAATTTGTCACAACTGAATGATCTCCTTTCTTATACATGCGCTCTTTTCCATTCTGTTGGATATGAATTTAAAGCCAATGAATGATTGAATAACACACATAACACAATACTAATGCTGTTTACTGTTTTCTTTAATAGGTTGTTACTTATTTTGTCTGGACCAGGTGCCTTGTTAATTTGAAGACATTTTATAACGTCAGATATTTCATTTTCTGAGACAGTTAATTTGTCAAAAATACTCTTAGTGCGTTGATTGAAATATGGTAATTCTTCACGTTCTTCTGTTAGGGTAGATATGGATTGGAAATATTCATTTAATCTCTCTGATTTTTCTAAATCTGAAAATATAGTGTGACAGTCATCGGTATCTTGTTTCCTTAACGGGGGGATGCTCGTAGATGTTCCAGAGTTTTTGACGACATATCTTAGTAATTTCCAATATGATTGTTTATTTACTATATATAGTTCCGAAAGAAATTCATCAATGTTAGAATAGAACTTTTCTTTCGCATAACTTTTCATGTTGTTGACCTTATTGCGTTGTTTTATGTATGCTATAATATCTGTCTCCTTATTACTCCTTTTTTATTTCTTTCGTAACCTATTACGTATCCTACACTCCTTTCTTAAATGTGAATCAAACCATGGTTTGTCATTTGGTCGAATAGTGACAATTTTAGATGGAATACATTGTGTTACAAAATCGTTCAATCTTTCATACAACACTTCACACATATCATCAACATTTGTACATTCATTAAATAATACAGACCTATTGGTAGTGTTTATGAGATCATTCAATTTAACAAAGTCTCCTTTGTTATACCATAAAACCTTGCGTTTATAAGCTATCTTGGTGCATATTTGTGTGTCCATTTCCATATAAGTACCTCTGTGATCAGATATTGTACTATCGAAGACGATCACACCACTGACCTTTACATCAACATCTTCACTAACAATGATTGGATCTAAAAGTGTGCTAGATTTAGAAGTGACACTGGTGGGCTCATCAATTACATTCCTTAAATTTTTTCTGTGTAAAATTTCGTTTATGTAATTTTTCCTGTTAGATAATAAATTTTCATGTAAATCACCGACAATCACCATTTTACTAGATATATCCAATGCAACTTCGATAGAAGTATCTAACCGACTCCAAACTGTATAGAATTGTGTTCTGGTCTGTAAACAGCACAGAGTAATAAAGGCCCTTGAGGAAGAAATATTTTTATCCATATACTTTCATCAGTAATATTTTCTAGTTCGTGCATTCTCTTGTATGTTAAACACTTAGTGATGTATATCATAACCCCTCCTCCAAGAGCATTTTTATCTTTCCGTAATGGATTATGAAATGACTGCCACTGTAAAGTTTCATTACCTACATATTCATCCAGATGTGTTTCAGTGAAACAAACTACATCATATTCAGACAAATATTCTGCAAGATACCTTTGCTTATTACGGACACTCCTGGTGTTTAAATGGAAGATCGACAATGAGTGGTCAAGATTAGTTACATCACCGGTCAGTGGGCCAGGATTAAGTTCAACGTCCCCTGCAAGCTGTATTAACAATAGGAGTACGAGAATTACATTTACATTGCCGAGATAAGCCTGCAGAACACAAAGGCACAGTCGAGTGTTACAAGCTTTAACTTCTAGTGATAAAATATAATGCATTATGTCCAGCTCGTTCAAAAGAAACTTTGTGATGGAAGATTTGCAGATAAACAATTGACACAACCTGTTAGATGACTTTACAACACAGTTGAACACCCCGATCGCAACGCGATACTGAGATATATCATTACCCATATGTCAGTTTCAGTCTGGGAACAATCGTACTTTTCTTCTGGGTTAACGATCGGGGAATGTAAGGACGCTGTGACCATATGCTGAGTGAGGAATCAGTGTGTACATAGCATGGCAATACAAGAATGGATTGTATATATATTGGAGTTTTCATTTTCTGGGAATATAAGAGGAGAGTGAGATTCA